CACGCGGCCAGCGTGAATTTTAAGCCGCTGGGGCTGGGATTCGAACCCCAGTCAACTACGTGGGAGTCCAAGGGCTGGGGTCCCCAGACCCCAGGGAAGTGACCAAGGCCAAGATGGGGAGGAGAGCATAGAATGCTGGAGGCGTAGGGAGTTTTGTTTTTGTTTGTTTGTTTTTGCTTTCTCCTAGAAAGAGTTTATTTTTTTTCTATAGGTCACATGTACTAACTAGAAGGACAGAGAGACAGAGAGACAGAAGTCACTGCAATCTTCTCCGTTCTCCTCTCGGGATCTTGGGCATGTACACACACGCGGCCAGCGTGAATTTTAAGCCGCTGGGTCTGGGATTCGAACCACAGTCAACTACGTGGGAGTCCAGCGATGTAACCATTAGGCCATCTGCTGGCCTTGGGGTTTGTTTTAAGGAGCAGAAGAAAGAAGAGAGCAGGGGAGCCTAGTCTCTGGGCTCGCTCCCGCCTCTGCCAGCAGGGTGACTTGGGCAAGCACCTCTCTATCCAGCCACCTCCTCTCCTGTCAGTTGGGACAAAAATAGCACCACCTACTGGGCCATTAAATGAGGCCACAAGCTAAGGTTCATGCCAGGCCTGGCTCGGATGAGCGGCCCTGACACATTCAGAGCAGGCTGGAAAGGAGACCGAGATGGTGCTGCCAGGGAGGAGGAGGCAGACCTACAAGAACACATGGGCCTCAGGACAGGGACAAGAAGGCAGGCGAGTTCCTTGTCTGGGTGACTGAGGCCCGGGGAGAGTAATTAGGAGGATGTGGAGGGGCTGGGAGGCTTGTGAGGGAGTCTCCAGCCCCCGTCCTATCTCTGGGCCTCCAGCGGAGCTGCAGTTGAGTGGGAGTTGTGAACATGCAAGAGCGGTGCCCACCTATGCAAAGGGTGAGAGGTTGGGTTTTATCACACGAGAGCAGTTTGCATCCAGGCATCCCCCCTGCAAGCTGAGTGATCTTGTCAATCATTGGGCACACTGCCTGGCACACAGTAGGTGCTCATAAAACAGTAGCCGAAGTCATTATCATCCTTAAAGTCACTGCAGATGCTGAAGGCACAGCCCTCCACAGTTTGCACAGCCCTTCGGATCCTGAATCTCCTCCACGAGGCAGTGACAATCATTCCCATGAAACGGAGGTGGAAACTGAGGCTCAGAAAGAGGACCTTCTCAAAGCCTCCCAGCAAGTGGGAGTCAGGCCCAGAACCCAGGACTCGTGATTCAGAGCACATGCTTCATGGCAGTGCTCCCAGCCACCTCCCTGCTCATTCCCGTGGGAAAGGCTCCTGGTCACAGGCGTGGGGGGCAGCCGCCGACCCATGATAACGCCATCGCCCATCCAGCCGCCCTAGGGCCTTACAGGGCTGGGGTTGCCCATGTGACTCAGCCACCCTCACAAAGGGCGCTGTGTGCCTGCCGGTGCCCAGGGCCGCCTCCCCGCTACCTCCCACTGCTATCCCCCAGCTGGGGACAGAGCAGGGAGCCTGCAAGGTGGGGAGAAATCAAGGGCCATCCTTGGCCGGCCATACAAATGGGACAAGTCTTCAGGAGCTCAAGCCCAGACTTGGGGCGTGAGGGCTGGTGCCAGCCCAGACAGTGGAAGGAGAGCCAGACAAACAAGGGCAGGGAGCACCAGGCCCACGTCTGTTTTCTGAGACCTTATTTGGAGTTCGAAGGACAGACTTGATGCACTTGGCTCTCTGGGGGGGGCGGAGCCCGGGCAGGTGCCCCGCCCACTTTACCTGCCCAGCATTTCAAAATCACTGGGGCTTTTGGTCAAGGAAGAGCTCCTCCCCGAAGCCAACTGAGCTCCTGTAATCACACCTGGCCAAGGCACCAGCCTCTCTCCACCCCTCCCTAAGGCCCCAGACTGGAGCCCACAGGCCCCTATCCAACTCTAACCCTGTGCCAGGCAAGTGACCTGCGTTTTCTCCTACAATCCTGCCACGGGGGCTTTGCCTCATGTGCCAGGGGAGACTGAGGCTCAGAGAGGCAGAGAGCCAGCCCCCAGGGTCACACAGGGTTTGAGCCAGGACCTGACCGAGCCCAGTCTCCTCCCCCAGCACTCTTCCTGGTTGACCACATGCCAACAAGAAGTGGCCTTGGCCTGAGGCACACAGACTCTTCCTCCCCCGTGGTCGCTGCTCCTGCCCTGCCGGGAAACGGCCACTACCAAATGCCATTCCTCAGAGTTCAGGCTGGCTGAGCCTCCGAGGGCCACCCCACTGACCTCCCCAGCAGGCGGGCACGCCTGGGTGCCCAGCTGCCCGAGAGAGAAGTACACAGAGTGGCTACCCCCCTTCCCAGGCATGACGGAACGTCTGACCCCCAGCCCAGTCCCCCAAGGGCACGTGGCAGGAGGTTGGGTCCAGCCAGAAAGAGCCTGGAAAGTCACCCTGGCATGCCCCTGCCTCCTAGTCTTCAGAAGCCCCCAAGCCCAGGGCTAGGTTGGGCACCTCTAGCAAGCCCTCTCCCAACCCCTGTCACATGCCTGCCAGATGGAGTCTCCCTTGCAGGGTGCAAGACTGGCATGCAGAGGCTCGGGTTCCTCAGGTGAGACTGCCTGTCTCTGGGGCCTGGGCCCTTCTGCAGCTCAGGGAACTGGACTTAGGTGGTCATGATGGCTGCTTCTCACTCTGCCTCTGGAGCCTCTCCTTGGAGGGTGACTCCTGGGAGGACCCCAGCCCCGCATCCAGCTCAGAGGCAGCCCTGTCTGGGAGAGCTGCAATGATTGGGGGTATTCCAAATGGCCCCTCACCCTACATGGACTCCTCCCTGCATGGTCCCCAAAGCCCCCTGAATAGCCAGCCATGGGATCTGCCGTCAGAGTGTCCGTATTTGGCCTTCCTGTGCCTCAGTCTCCTCGTGGGTTAGGTGGGCGTGACAGCCCATCCACCAGGCCTTTGGTGGACCTGGGGACTGCAGTCAATCACTGTCAGGATCCCATCTTTGGTTTAGCATCCTCCTCCCCAAGTTCCCTTGTCAAATTCAATTTTCTCTAGCTGGGAGTCTGGCAGAGATGGCATAATGGTTACGTCATTATGTAGCTGGCCACGGATGGAGTCCCAGACCCAGCAGCTTAAAACTCACATTGGGTGCATGTGCATGCATGCCCAAAATCCGGAGAGGAGAATGGAGAAGAGATTGCAGCATGGCATCCCCCTGGAGGGGAGGGTTATTTCTTACTTTCTGTCTCTCTGTTTCTCTAACGAGCACAGGCAACCTCTAGCGAAAGTCTCTCTATCAAAAAAAAAAAAAAAAAAGGTTTCCAATCCTCTGTCAAAGCCTCCCTTCTAAATGAGAGGGCCCGGAGTTTACATGGAGTCACCAGGGTCCCCCACTTGCAGGTCATCCCACCTGCCCCTTCTGTCAGCTGCTCCCTCCACCCTGGCCTGTGAGGTGTGGGTGGCTACTGCTCCAATGCCACACTTGAGCCAGATGCCTGTGGTCAGGCAGGGAGGCATCCTCACTCCTGTGCCAAGGAGGCCAACGAAGCTCAGAGAGGTTTAGTGAATACCAGCAGGGCAGCCCAGCAGTGTGCAAGGATGGCAGCCCCAGCTCCGTCCTGAGGGGGCCAACATGCCATCTTACTCAGAGTCCCCAGGGCCCAAGACCTCAGCTTTGAGACCCCTGTGTGCTCCGCCCCATCCCTGTGTACACACACACACACGCACATACACACACACACGCACGCACGCACTGGTTGGTGTCCAGAACACAACGTGTTCAAGTGTTGGCTGCAGGAGACCCACTTGGGGAGTCATAAAGAGGGAGCCTCAGTTTCCTCTCCCAGAACCCAGGCCTGCTGCAGCTTCTCTTCGATCCAATAGAGCTGGAGTAGAAACTACTTTGGGGCGCCCAGTCCAATACCTCCCCGAAGTGCTTTCTGCTGCCTGAGTCTTGGCCCCAGCAGCCAGGGAGCCCTCAGGGTCTCCCCTAGAGTGCTGGGGCACAGATGGTGTGGGAGGCATAATGGAGCGATGATGACAGCCACTCATTAGCAGGGGGCGCTAATTAACAGGGAGCACAGCACTGAGGGCCCATTTGCTGCCCACGCGCCCCAGGGAGCGGAGTTGGTGCAGGCCAGACCCCCTCCTGACTCCAGCCCCACCTCTGTCTGGCCGGATGGGAGACTCAGATTGCAAGGCCCACTGCCCCGACCTCCCTCACTGTACAGAAGGAGGAAAGGCCCAGAAGGAGCTGAGCTTTCCAGGGTCCCACAGGAGGCAGTGGCAGGGCCTGGCCTTGTCCTCCACCGTGCCTCTATCCCAGGGTGTCTGCGGTCACCATGCAGTTGCACCATGGAAGCTAGGTCCAGGCGGGGGACAGGGGGTGGGGAGGGAGACCACTCTAACCTCCCCCTCTCCCCGTGGGCCCAGGGATGGGGGGAGCGCTGTGCTGCTGGCCAGTGTGGGCTGGGGAGGGTCGGAGGGACCCTTAGCTGGAAGTCTACCGGGCACCAGCATGTCCCCAGGCCTGGGCCTGTCCCCAGTCATGGAGCAGACTGCTTTGTCCTCCTTGTCAAAAGTCAAACAACCTGAACCAACCTGCTCCCAAACCGGTTTCCCATGGGATCTCAGGAGGAAACAGGCTCAGGGCACTAGGAGGCAGACAGGAGGCGTGGGGTCCCAGCCGCCTCCCATCCAAGCCCCAGCGTCCACAGCTCACCTCCGCCCTGCACTCCGCGGTCTCCTCCTCTGAGTGCTGGAAATGCATTGCGCAACTGCCGGCCTCCCCGGCCAGGCCGACCCGATGAGCATGCCAGCCCACGCTCTGGGCAGTGGGGTACCCTGGCACCACCAGGGCCTTCACAAGGGTGCCCTGCTGCCCAGAACCCTGAGCGGCTGAGGGCCAGGCCACACACGCACACAAGTGTCCCAAGGGCATGGAACCAGACCTGAGGGTTGCCGAGGTCGCGTGGGCCAAGCTGGCACGCACCTCTCTGACCTCTCCCACACCCGGCCCCCAGTCTGAACAGCAGCCTCTTACCTCCAGGTCCCGGCAGGCCCCTCAGCCGATGGTGCCAACGCTCCTTCTCCGCCCGTCTTCCTCCTCCTCCCTGGGTGCTCAGCGGCCTAGTCGGGCCTGTCCCAGCAGGTGGCCCCAGGTGAGGCTCCGCCTGCCTGTCTGGCCCCACTTCCGGCCACCCCGCAGCATGGCTGCCACCACCCTCTCTCATCCTGGGCTTCACTGGAGGGGCTGACCTAGCCCTTTGAGTGCCGAGCGCCCGCCCCACCTCCCCTGCTCAGCACCTCCCCACCTCTCCCCTCTACACCCCTGCTGCAGCCCTCCCTGGAATCGCACCTTGGCCCCAGGAAACAGGGCGTCTCTGTCTCTGAGGCTTAGTCCCTCTCCCCTGGCTCTGGGCTGGTGGAAGGAGGGTGCTGCCCCCTTTCCTAACTTGCCAACTCCGTTTCCCCTTGCTGTCCGGAAGCTCAGGCCCCACCTGAATCCTGGCCCAGGCTCACCTGCCTATAATAACAACAAGCTGACAGCCAACAGCTGGCGGGAGGCAGGAGGCCAGGGTGGGGCGCTGGGAGATGGGGAACCCCATCTCAGCATGCCCAGCTCCCATAGGACACAGTTCAGTGGGGGAACAGAGACCAACAAGGGGTGCAGGCAGGGATGGGAGCCTCTTCCTGGGGAGGTTTTGGTGGCAGCTGCCCTGGGTGTCCTGGGAGGGTGTGGTCCAGGCAGCCTCTACCCCTGGGCACACCCCTGCCACACAGAGGACTGACTGCTCCTGGCCTGCAGGCCCCGCCCTGCCTGCCTGGCCCCTGCTCCACCATTTCTGAAAGGGGAGCTGTTCAAGGTCCTCCCACCCAGGAACCCACTCCGTCAGGTGGCCTCTGATCCCCACTGCAGCTCCAACACGGAGAGTCCAGCTGGCCGAGCCAGCTCTGTCGAAGGAGCCATCCATCCAGTCGCTGATGCATTCCACAAAGGCCTGGCGGGAGACTCTGCGTGTACACAAAAGCACTGCTGGGACCTAGCCTCACCCCCACACCCCTCCATGTCCCCCCACACACACTCTCTGCCACCTGAGACCAGTCGTTCTGTGTCAGAGGACTTCCTCCTCCGTCAGCCCAGCCAGATCGCCAAACCTAAGTCGCAGCCGCAGGCCTGGTACAAACACGTCCTGGGTGCCTGGGACTGAGGAAGAAACGGAGGGTGAAAGGATGGATGCAGCCCTGCAGGTAGCAAATGTTTACTGAGGGCCTACTGTGTGCTAGCACTGTTCTAGGCTCAGGGAATACCAGCAAACGGAACACAGGACTCACTGCCTTCTTAGAATTGTGGGAAGACCGACAACACATGTATAAACAAATACGGATGAAATTTATCCTGCGGTAAGAACTACAGAGCAAAATAATGGGACCAGCAGATGGCTTAATGGTTATGTCGCTGAACTCACACATAGTCGACCATGGTTCGAGTCCCGGACCCAGTGGCTTCAAACTCATGCCTGGTGCATGTGTGTGTGTGCCTCTAGATCCCAAGAGCAGAATGGAGAAGGGATTGAGGCGTGGCCATCCCCCCTGGGGAGTGATTTCTCACTTTCTGTCTCTCTGTCTCTTTCTGTCTCTCCAGCAGGTACGCACACCCTATAGCAAAAATCTCTCTACAAAGAACAAAACTACAGAGCAAAGTAAAGCCGAGGAGGGAGGTTAGGGAGAACGAGGGTTGCTTCAGGGTCCCTCTGAGAAGCAGCACTTGAGCACAGACCGGATGTGGCAAGGGAGGTCGTCTCTGGGTGAGAGAATCCCAGGCAGGTGGAATAGCACATGCCAAGGCCCTGGGGTGGGTGATGTGTTTCAGGAAGAAGGAGGAGACCAGCTTGGCTTCGTGGCTAAATGAAAGAACCGAGGTAGAAACGAGACCGGGGAGGGAAGGGAGGGTGGAGGGACAGATGGGCAGGGCAGAGCAAGGGTTGGTCTGGCGAGGTGCTGAGGAGGGTCCAGTCCCCCGAGAAGGTACAGAGGGCACCTGCCTTTTCCCACAGCACAGACCCATCCCTGGAGGCCAGCCCAGACCCTGTGGGGTTCCCGGTCCCCAGCTCACCCCCTTGCAAGTTGCTGCCTACTGGTGCCACCTCTGCCAGACCCACGGCACGAGGCTCTCCACTGAGCACAGAGAGGGGCTCCCAGGAGGGAGGCAGTGTCTGAGAGAGAGGGACCTGTGAGAGGACAGCCTGACCCCGAGTCCCAGAGTTTCCTCGTGGTCCCAGAGATGCCACCCACCCTGGTAAGGACCCCAGAGGAGTCTCCGTGACTTCCTGCATGCCAGCTGGTGACTCCCCCACCTCTGATACACACGTCCCACCACTCAGACCCTGTGACCTCAGGGCCCCAGACATGTATGTAATCCCTAGGTCTGCCACTGAGCCAGCAGGACTGGGGCTGGAGCCCCGGCTCGGACTCTCACTGGCTGCGTGCACTGGAGGAGGTCGTTCAGGCCCCCTGGCCTCGGGTCAGTTATGAAATGAGGACACCAGTCTTGCCCTGCTTGTCTCCCTGAGGCAAAGGGAGGCATGAGGATGAGTCAGGAAATTGCCTGGCTGTGCCCTGCCTTAGCAATGATCCCTGAGGAACATTCACAGGGTGAGGGGCTTAATCTCTCAGGCCCCCTTCCTGGGCCACCACCTAGCCCAGAACCCTGGGATGATCAGAGAGTGTCCAACTCTTACACCTGACAGCCACAGAGATGACAATAATGGCCATAATCCCGGTGACAGGAACCCTGCTAATCCATTATGTGGATTATTCAGCTGACTCCTGACCACACCTCACGGGCTGGAGCTACACTCAGGAAGAAGATACTGGGGGAGTGGGAGAGGTACGGAACACGACAGAGGTCACACAGCCCGACTCCGGCACTCCCAGCAGGGCTCGAGATCCCCGTACTGGCCCTGGGTAAGCCAGCCTCCCTCTGCTCACCCCTACCCCCGCTCAGGGGAGGAGGCAGCAGGAAATGCCAGCCCCTTCTCTGTCTGGGCACCCAGGAGTGAGGAAGGGCATAAAGGGCCCCCCTCTGCTACCCCA